ATGAAACCAATCCTGTCACGCAATGGTCCATTCAAAGCAACTGAACGCCAAGGCGTTTTCCTAGATTATGATATTAACAAAAAGGGATGTTACATAAGTTGAAAGCCTGGCGCAGGAGAGCTTTTAAGAGGTATGGGCGGACGTTTTAACTGCCGAGCACTTTTTAGCTTACAACATCACCTCGCTGCTTATATGTGCCTTTTATACTAATTAATTGACGGGAAGCTTACTTCCGGACACCGCCTGTGGCATTCTGATATAGACACTTGAATGCATTGCAGTCCTAGCCTTGGATTATTTTTCCATAAAATTTTACAAATCCAGGTAAACTAGTTACTTTAAACTAATGAACTAATGCCGATGAGTAAAGTTCCTACACAATGTGCGACTGACTTTACTTCCTGTGGTTAAACTTGTCTAGAAATTTGCAACAGAACATGAAATATATGCGTTCTTAATATGCAGTGTTCATGATGCACCACGAATCCGTTTAGGACGCACGCAAAAAATAAGTTTACTGAGTACTGACAGTCAGAGGCAGAAACATCCGTCTTAGTTAAGCAGCAACCGCCATGATCACTTTGATTTCGGAGAGTGATAAGTAGGAAGCTGGCCCATTAGGCTGTAGAGGACAGCTCTTGACTGCACGTCATCACAACTTCGCTCTACTCCCACTGGCCTCCTGGACTTTCAGTGTGCTTTCAATACAACAAAACATCTTATTAATGCTTTCGCCTGTGGGATGCTGTTGATTTTGCAGAAAGATATCCTAAATGGCTGCAATTCTGTCGGCCAGACAGACTGGACACACTTTTCAGCCGACTGCTTAGTTAACAGCCAGTCATTAACCGATATGTTTTTCTTTCTGAACGCATAGTCGTTCTAAAAAATTAATTCTAGCAAAGTAAGTCATCTGTTTCTGTCCACTTTAACCTAGGATATCGTCTTTATATTATAATGAAATTTGACACATTAGTCACCTGACTGCAGCTCCTTATTCAAAACAGGCTGAATGAATGTTGTTTGCAGTTATCGCAGGGTAAATGCCCAGTTTCTCCGCTAGGTAATTCGTTCTACATTCCAGACTTACTGTATAGAAAGCAAAATCAAAGGAGTTTTTTCACACTTATGCTCGAGTAGGTGTAGCTTTTGTAAAGGTTGCGTACACTTGTTTCGCAGAAAAATTCTACTGCTTACTATGTAAGACAATCCGATGCCTAGATATAATTTTCTCATTGGTTACATGAGTAGTAGTAAAGCCGCATTTCGGTCGATATGCACAAAAGCGTCAGGTGGGTCGTTTGTTGTGGGCAAAAGGTGATCGATGGAGATAACAGCTTGAGCGAACATACGTTTGCTGGGTGCAATATGGCATTTTGGATAGTGGATAGACAGTCGATATTACGCGTTCCAAATGACTCGTCATTATTGACAGTAAGGGTACTAGCCAAAGGCCTAGGCTCATGCTTTGCTGATCATTGGTGCCTTCAAGCGCTTATCGTGTGTCGAAAAATACACAGTTTTGTTTTAAATGTAGAGCCTATTAATTTCCATAGAAATCAATGCGCCACTTTGAAGCAGAGCCTTATTTCAGACGTTTTTCAGGATCAATACGAAAGCTGCAAATATTGGAGCTGGGATATATCAGCACCTGCGTTATAATTGCGTAAAATACACAAACTGTCCACAGACAGTAACACTATACGCGACCTTTGACGGTCGCTCCCAAAGAGGTTTACCATGTACCTAACTGGACGCAGGGACGTGGATTAGCGTGTAATTTGGTTTATAAAGACAATGGACTTGCAATTGGCATACCACACTCTCTCCTCCTCCCTCACCATGGCTCTGTGTCATAATAGGTTTGAGAAAACCGGAGACGGAAGAGGACGCAGTTGGCTGGCTCAACTCTCACCCAGGTATGTTCCCACAGCCTGGTTTACACAAAAACGACCACGATTCCACATAGTGAGAAAGGGAGAACTACACGGATTGAAATTGGTTGGGAAGGCCGTGAGGCCACATTAAGACCAGAGGCGAGAGCGGCCGCAGCTGGCTGGGAAGGCGTAAATCCGCACCTAAACGTGCCACCACATCAGGTCAGAGTGCATTGCCATTGGGGCCATATTAAGAAGGTGCCATTGTAGGCTGACTCATAAGGGAGCACCGGGTGATCCCATCAGCTGGCAGACTTCCAAGCCACAGCGGTAAACGCACCTTCAGAGTTAAAACGCTCGTCAGATTGTTTATTGTTAGGGGTGTGCGTTGAGACCGTCGAAATCTCTTGGTCGTTTCACTTCCAGGCATCGGTTCATTGTCCGGCCGGTCAGTCATCTGATATGAGAATGGCGTACAGTGGCTGACAGGGCTAGAGAGCACGTCTGCGCGCGAAGCAAACATGACATAGACCGCCCAGTATTTCACTTTATACGAGGAGGCTGCTCAGATTCCAGCAAGACGCCACATTATGAAGGAACCGTCGAAGTTTGACTCTCAGTCCACGAGTCCACGCCGCCACACAAACACTGGGTCGTCTGCGTTGTCTAAGCTGAAGCGTCAGTTTTCAGCCTTTCAAGCCACGACTTTTAGTACACCTTGGTAGTCTTTAAGTATGCCAGAATGTCCTTAGTGAAAAAGTATGTGCCGGGACCGTCGACCTCAGTCCCTCCACCCTTTCCTGTACGCCAGTTGACTTTCCGAGCCGGACTGAGACTGAAAGAGGTGGCCGACTTGACTAAAGGCATGCCGTCTGCGCGCGTCACACATAAAACCAGTCTCCGCCACATGCACACACACCCGGATTTCAAACAAAAATACGGATTAGTCGATCTTGCAAAGATCCGGGGAGCCAAATTTAGAAGGTGTCAAGGAGTACACTTCTTACTTACGCGAAAAGAACGTAATTTGCGCCTGCCGTGTGTGTGTGATGTTGGACTTGTTCATGAGTTGATTGACAAATATGTGCTGACGTGTTTTAGTCTGCAATAACTTACTGCCAATTTTCATTGATGATCATATGACTGTACAGGCTCATGCGGTGATGAAATATGCGTTGGCAATCCTGACAGTTGGCGTAATGGCGACAGGTGTGTGTTGTTGTTCCTGGCACGGTTCGCCGGTCTCTGTACGATGGATTCGCAAGTGACCAACCAGGCCGATGGGTAGTGTTCGTGTGCAACGGCAAAGTAGGCAGGACAGGCTGTGAGCTGATGAGTCGGCTGTGGTATTGCTAATGTTAGTTTAGGTCGTGCCGATGGATGGGGAGCAGTGAATTTCCACAAGTTTGCGCTAGCATGGCGACTTCATCCTATAAACCTTCACGTGCATGAACCATCTGTATCTGTTTTTGCTTCTGATGATTGGTTCGAGTAGGAATCGGAAACGTCAGGCGAATAAATCTTTTGCCCAGCGATCAGGTTTCCTTTTTCAGGATAGGGAGCTGGCGATGGGTGAGTTATCGGATATGCTAGGTCTGCTTGGCGTGTCGATACTGCGGTGAATCCCGCTCCCGTAGATGCACATATGGCCGAACGCGTCTGTCTGGTGAGTGAATGTGCGTGGGCAGTGTAGAATTTAAAGGCGAATGCGGTACGTATATGTCGAGGCTTCGGTAAAAATGCTCAGTGACTCATCATACTCACAAATGATGGATTCCGATTAAGTTTTTATATTAAATTTCCGGTTGGGCCTGAAAAGATACAAACCGAAGAAACTAACTTCATGTTCGCGGAATAATTTTTGAAAAAATCGGAACACTCAAAATTTTGCCTTATCTAATTCGGCTTGTCGGACCTGCCGGGTCTGCTATAACTTCTTGTGTGATCTGCAGAGCGAAATTCGTATCTTCGTTCCTGTCGCTTACGCGTTATGACGTTAATGGGATTCAAAGGACCATCTGCGCGACCTCAGCAACGTTCACACGTTCTGTACAATGCGCAAGCAGAGAGATATTTTTAGATGTTGTCTCTTCAGTGCAAGTCACGTTAACATTTCTACTCAGAAATCAACTTGTTTGATCAAAGTATACCGCCTCGAAAGTGAATGAAAAACTAACTCAGACTGGGTTGACGAAGTGTTTAAAATATTTGAAATCTGCCATAACACCTAGGAATCACATGAGCTGGTAGTCATCTGGTGGATTTTAGATGTATTACTTAGTAAATCCAGCTTGGGCAGTCAGTTCACTGCATCAGATTTGGTTGATCCAGAAGTTTGAAGGAGGTCGGGGTGGAGGGAGGGGTAAACCTGATCCAAATGTGATTAAACTCGCGTAGTCCGTTGTGGCCTTGTTGCTCAGATGGTTAGAGCGTTGGCTGTGCCAAAGCCTTCCCCCTGCTGTGGTGAATTCGAATCCCATCGAAGCACTGAGTTTATCACAGCTGCCGCAATAAAAGATGCCTGAACTTTAGCTGCTAGAAAGGTCGGATCTGGACTATACAAACCTCTCGAAGTATCTTTGCTGTTTGAATATGTTTTCCAGATTCATTTTTCATTCCTCTGCTAGACTGTACGGCAATATCTTTGAAAACAAATCTGCGTGAGTGACCTGTTTTTTGAGGTCATATCCGAATCTGTTCAAGTTAGGTTTCCAAATGAGGCACCAGAAGCACGCGTTTGTTCTGTTTGTCAAGTAGCAAATCAAGTGATCCTACTCATCGATAACTTTTGTTCGAGCGTGGAAATATGGACCTAAATCGTAGTAGAAGTGCCCTCGCGTCAAATTCCAGGGATTACGTGCTAGCAGAGATGCGGATTTATCGATAAAGTTCATGACACTGCAGACCGCACAAGACCAGGAAACCGAACAAACTACAGTACATAACCTCTCGTCAAAATAACTTACTGTGACCCAAACAAAAGTTCTACAACGTGGATCTGGTTTTAACACAACTGACGCCGACCCGGTCACCTGCATTGCTTCTTTCGAATCAGTGCTTCGTCAAACCGGCGCCACAGACGAAGTAAAGGACCTCCTTCGACATCAAGTCTCTTCGCTTCTCATGTCGCACCGGAAAACCCATTCCCTGCTAAGAGATGAACAAAAGGCCCTAAGGGAGCTGAAAGCGGACACCGAAATAGTTATTCTGCCTGCTGACAAAGGCCGGTCAACCGTCATCCTCGACAAGGTGGACTACCGACGCAAAGCCCTCCTGCTCCTCAACGATCGAGAGTCCTACAAAGTCAGCGACGCCGCCAGTCTAAAGTCCCTAGTGGCAAAGGTTAACAGAATTCTGGCTCGACTAAAAAAGGACAAGGTCATCACCGTCAAAGACTGGTATATGGCAAAGCCCACAGAAACCGCTATGGCGAGATTCTATGGTCTCCCAAAAGTACACAAGCCAGATGTTCCCCTCCGTCCTATCGTCTCGCTCCGAGGCACACCCACATACGGGCTTGCAAGCTGGCTATTTCAGAAGCTAAGATTCCTAACTGCAGGCTCACAAACAACGGTGCACTCAGCAGAACAATTCCTTGGCAAAATAAGGGCAGTCACGATCGAACCGAATGAAAGGATGGTGTCTTTTGACGTCGTCTCACTCTTCACGTCCATACCACAGGCCCTTGCGGTCGAAAAGCTCAGTGATCTGCTACGTCAAAATTACGACGGGGGCGATGGCCAGCCCACAGCTCAGGATCTCATAGAACTCATGGGGTACTGCCTCAAGACATTCTTTACCTTCGAAGGGACCACATACGAGCAGATCAAGGGCACTCCAATGGGTTCACCAATCTCCGGACTCATTGCCGAGGCAGTTCTACAAAAACTCGAGAGACGACTATTCGAGGAGTACAAGCCCAAGTTTTGGGCACGCTACGTTGATGACACCTTCGTCATCATAGACCAGGATAAAATCAACTACTATGCGGAAGTACTGAACTCAATTATGCCCGATCTACGGTTCACGATGGAAGAGGAAGTCGAGGACAAACTTCCATTCTTGGATGTTCTCATCTGCCGCCAACCAAATGGCGAACTAGCGACGTCAGTCTACAGAAAACCGACGAACACGCTGCAAATTGTCAGCTACAACAGCAACCACCCGCCACAACACAAACGAAGCTGTGTCCGCACGCTGTACCGACGGGTGGAAACTCATTGCAGCACGCCAGCCGCCAAACTGAATGAGATAAAGCTCCTCCGAGAACTTTTCAGAGCCAATGGCTATCCGCGGGCATTCATTGAACGAAGCCGGAGACAGCCAAAGAAACGGAACGAGGAGCATAGTCAGCCAAACTCGTGGCGGAGCATTCCGTACATTAAAGGGGTCTCCGAAGTCGTGGCTCGATCACTCGCGCCACTCGGAATAGGTGTTGCCCACAGGCCTGACTCAACAATCCGCCGGCAAGTGATGCGGCCGAAAGATCCCATCCCTAAGCAGGAGATGTCGGCCGTTGTCTACCGACTTCAATGCAGCTGCGGAAGTTGCAACTACGTTGGGGAAACCGGCCGACGGCTGCAAACGCGAATGCACGAGCATAAGTTGGCCGTGCGAAGGTTGGACCCAAAGTCGGAGGTAGAAACCCATGCCGCGCAAATGGGACACATCTTCAACTTTGACGCCGTTGAGATTGTGGGCCGGGGCGGCGATCACACAGCAAGGCAAGTGCAAGAAGCCTGGATGTCCACCGACCGCTCTGTCAACCGCCACATCAATTTGCTCCCCCCTTATCTGACTTTACGAACTTTCTTAGCGGGGGACAGTCACGGCGCGGGACAATCGGGGCCGTCAGTCATCACCGCGGCCGACGGGAGCGATTCAGGTCACGGTGACATGCGGGTTGGATGCAGCCACACAGGCGGCATTGGCGGATCACACATTGGACAAAGGGCGCCATAATAAGGAGTGCTGTGCACAGGACCTCCCAGTCCCTGAAGATGGGTAGACGAGTAAACTACCCGAAACGTCGGATTTCAAATAAACCCCTCCCGGTGAACGCCCACTCTTCTTTTGATATGCCACCTGGGAATCGGATTTTCACTACTATTACGGTTAGTGCTGGGGCTATGATTATTTTTAGGATTGGAGCTAGTTAGTAGCATATTGGCTGGAATACGGAAAAAAGCATCCCCTGGAATTTTATCGCAAGGCCGTTGAAGTACCTGGAGACCCATATTCCGGCGCCTACTCGACCCTTTGTCTGCCCGAATGGTCAGGCCAGTTTCTGGAAAGGGCATTTAGGAGAGAGACAGGTTAATCGTACTTTTTGCTGTGCTTGAGAACTGTTTTTGTGTGAGGGCTCAAGGAATGAATAACAACATTCTGAGCCGATTTATTAATGGCGGTGGACGTAAAATCATATTTTTTCGATTGGTCTGTTTATCTTTAAGTTCTAACACACAGTCATTGTGTTACTGCTCGACAGTGAACTCAGATACCTCACTTCAGCTGCCTATAAAGCTGTTCATTGAGGAGGAAATGTATATGATGTTTGCAATGCCATGACCGCTGATCTAACATGTTGCTGTTATCTGATCTGTTTCCGTCCTACGTTGTAACTCACAGTGTCATTATCGGTTTCCTGACTGTTGTGTCGAGGGAGGAATCTCATATGTGTGAAAACAGCACATTTATTCCACTAAAATTTGCTCATTTTGTTCAAATTCTTATTGAAAACTGAGTGGTTACAGTTTAGAAAAATCGATCAATTTCGTTGCGAATTTGTGATCAGTTTTAAAATCAGTGAGGTAAGCAGGAGTGAACCCGACTATTTGGATCAAAGTCCCCATGCATTTGCGTGAATGCTATAGAAAACGCGAACGCGGACGTCGAAAATCGAGCATGGTTGAAGTGCCGCTGTTGGTTTCTCTGTCATCGCTGGAAAGAGGTATAGGAAACAATCCACAAAATGCCATTTAGATGCCACACATCTTCGTTCTGAGCATACATTGGCGTTTGTTTGCTCATTGCTATGCAAGAACCGGAATGGATGCAACAGGACACAGGAATACGAGCCTACTATAATATAGATGTGCAAACTTTGACCCTAATTCTAACCATAATCTAAAGACTCCCAACTTGAAGGTGACTCAGTCGTAACAAAATCCTAAATATTATAAAAGTTTACAAACAAATGGCACAACATTCCATTACAGTAAGTTGTAGCAACGTTTAAAAGGTAAGCCCTGTTCACAAACCTTCAGCAGAACTTGGTTATATCACTTTAAACACGCAAAATCTCGTATTCGTTTTGGCCAATTTTAAATGTAATATCTCCTTCTCTCAGTTAAAACATGGTCTAAATGTCCGCCTATGCTCCAGCTCTTAGCGAAGGTGATGGGGACAGACGTCTTAAGTTTGTGGAAAATTTTACGCTGCATGCGAACATATTGCCGACATTTTATACCACGTTATTTGGTCGAAAAACGCCTGCTCCAAATTGAATACACGGATAAATCGAAATAACTGCGTCCATTAGGTAGATTTAAATTCACAATGCACATAACAACAAGAGCTAACTACGCTTATTATTACAGTTTATGGTGGAATTTGTGTGCAGGATTAATTAGCAAGCTTTCCTTTGTTAATTTAATGGCGTTCGAATCGAATATTAAGATGTTAAATAAGAAGTTTTAGCCAGTGGAGCCTCAACGCGCAAATTATGCTAATCTATACTTTCAGCAGGATGGCGCCGCTGTTCATTGTGGTCGACCCGTCCAAAGTGTCCTCGTAAACATTTTTGGGGTTAATGGATAGAGCACCGTGATGCCGTAGAATGGTCTACAATGTCCTTAGTCCTCAGTCCTCTGGATCTCTTTCCCTGAAAAGTATTCAAACTTCAGGCATTCAGCGAAAAGCCAAAGACTTCTAATGATGTAAACAGAGCATCATAACGTCATGAGAAATTACAATCCCGGGACATGCGAAAAATAAGCTGACTCAATCCATGAACGATATCGCAACTGTAATGCAATTAATGACCGTCAGATTGAACATTTGCTGTATCTTTGGGCAAAAGTATTCTGTTCCATTTATTTGTAACTCTCAGTGATAATCGCAGTTCACTTACAACTGAGCCACCTCCATGTTACCCTAACACTTGCATCACCTTCCCGGAAACTTTAAGACAAGGCTACCTGCAATAGGGGGGACCAAGATTCCAATTCGCGGCCTGAGATTCTCTGTAAGGGGGGTTGATGCACGACGGGAATAAACATTCCTGTCCTGCAGTCAAAATAAATTAGTACTTTTACATATTGCGATACTCATTCGACAAAGACTGGGTTTGATGACCGCGGTGTTTTAGGTGCTTCAATTAACGTAACCCGTTATCAAGCCGGACCAGGGCTGTGGGGGCTATAGTGAAAAGATATCAATAAATGATGACGACAACTCTTAATACGTAATCACCATTGCAATTCAGTCATTTAAAACTCGTATTATAATGCACGTACAAAGAACGAATGCTCCTCTTTATTGTCGAGCTAATGCGTTCAATGTGTAAGGGAGGTCATTCGAACAATATCATAATGAGTTCCTTCACTTCTCGGTCAAAAGTCAGATAATTCCAACGTCGTATATTTCCTTACGAAGAAGCCGACTGCGTGGCATTTTAGCAAAAGTGCTTAGGCTTGCAGATGCTTTGGCGTAATTAGGAATTAACCGAATGGTATTTGCCACATTAACCTTTCGTCTGGCACAAATACATTCACATATGTTCAAAGATGCTTTGCTACATTTTAATGGAACCAGGTAACCCCTTTAGATGCTTGCCAAATGTATTTATTTGAATCTGTTATTTTGGTCGCCGTCACCGAAAACTCCATAAATACCATATAAAAGGTCTATTCTAGAGCAGATTGCAAGGTCTAAATCGCAGTATAATTCCACATGGGGAATGATGTCCCTGAAATGACGATCTTTGCGAGGCACTACTGCAGGGATTACGAGCTTTAATTCGGCATTTATCGACAAAATCTTTCTTTAGCCTCCTTTGAGACCAAAAGGAATGGAAAGGTGTAGCGCTAAATCCGGTCCGTCGGAAAAAAAGTTTACTATTTCTAGTCCACATCTTGCTTAATTCTGTCAGTTATTAACCAGAAAAAGATACAAATACCAACTTATTATCACTTTTAACGTAAGAAGTAAAGACATATTTGGCGTGGCTGATCGCGGAAGTCCACAATTACAAAACAGTGTCGTAAGGCATAGAACGCAGGATGATAGTTGACAGACAACAGTTTGTTTTACCGTGTCGACAATTACAGGATGCACTCACACCACGCTGGGTAGGTGCCAAAACAGTTCATACCTCACGTTCAATCTGAGGATATACAGAAGCTGGCATCAGAGGGGCTGCTGGGTTAGATGTTGAAAAATATTTTTGCTATTAGTTAGCCCACTTTGCATGGGATTTCTCAAGGCGGAACCGTTTAAAAAATACTCAAAAGGATTAAAATGTTTACCAGTCGGGCTTAACGACACATTTATTTCTGAGGAAGTAAAGTTTTCATCTGTCGTTCATTGCTGCTATTTTCGTGGAACATTTTAAAATGCCCCCTTCGCTCATTATTGAGTGGGAAGTGAAAATGGCTGGAACTCAATTGTACAGGATAGTGATCACTCCATGTTTGATTAGATTGCTTGTCAGTTAGATTTTATCATTTGTTAGGGAGTATGTCCTGGTATTTGCGTCCGTAATGACGCGGGACTTGACAGTTAAGAGTAGGTCATTGTATTATAGTGTCTATTGGCGCAGGCTCAAAAGTTGACGTACGAATGTCTTGGCTAAAGTCCATCAGACACAGCGAGATAACTACGAAATATTCAGTAACTGCCAAAATGCAGCTGGTAGTATATTTTGAAGGTAGACGGACGCCATACTAGCAGCATAGGTACTAGCCCACATTAAATGCCTGTCGACGCCAAAAGACCCTAGAATATACTGATCTACTATAAATTCGTAAATAATTTCTAAAGAAATTTAAAAAACAACAATTTCTTGATTTGAGTATCTACTGGAAGCTAGATGGGAAATGCTGGAGGACCCACTGATAAGCCAAACCCCTCGCAGTGGTGCCATGAAGCGAAAGAATATCAGCAAAACACGCGTGCGTGAGATCTTGGCTAGTACACGTGCTGCTAATTTGGTGTCCTCTTACACTAAAAAGATTGCCTTTATTTACGTTTTAAGATTCGGAGCCGACGTGAGCTTCCACTAAACGAGTACGAGGAAGAATATGCGTTCGCAGTTTTAGCACAAAATCTATTTGAACAGAAAAATATGTGCTACGTAAGTTGCATTTTTCAATGAGTTCGGTTTTTGCAGGTGATAGCAAATATATTTATTCAAAAGCATGCATTCTGCGGTGACGGAAATATTTAAAAATTATATTGTACGACGATCAGTAGATAACTTGCACGGACAGATTTTCTGGCCAGTGCCATGTCTTACATACGTTATTGTTTAGTGGAAGCAGACGGGTAACTAAGGTAGCTTTGACATTTTACGTTTATCATTATTATTCTTTGCTGCAATCTTCTCCATTCAATGCACTCGCTTTCGACATGAATTGCTATATGCCGCACAGAATAAGTCATCTCTAATATAACTCTTAGCTAAATTTATGGGTTTCTTTAAGAAAAATTATTTTTGGCTAGTAAGCCCCAAGCTAAAAATTTATCAATGCCTTCTTTTGATGAAACCTTTGTAGACAAAGCATGGACATTTTTGGCTTTAAAAGGATCTCCTTCCAAATTTTCTACAATTTAGTGAGACAGTCTACTTATTGTACGCATGGGTGGCTAGTGCTTTAAGGTTTACTGATGCGTTTAACAGTGTCATTAAACTGCATAGTAATTCTGCCGCTGCTCATGCACAAGTAATGACTCCTCGAAAA